ACATAGATTGGTTGCCTCCAGCACTCGTCCCAACCAGGGCATGGAATCGAACATGCAACCCAAGTATGTGCCCTTGACCTGGAATTGAACCCACCACCCTTTGGTGTGCAGGCCAGTGCTCTAACCACTGAACCACACTGGCCGGGGCCCCTTCCCTCCTCTTCATGCTGTAGTCCCCATATCTTTAGTTTATGAAATTAGGAGGAGTATAGTGCTTTTTTACTCTTCCTTACCCAGTAAGTTGAGTTTCAGTAGTTTTTCAGGAGAACATAGTAATTTGGTGTTGGGATAGAGTACTGTACAAAGCACTGGGCTGTATCAGGATCCCTGGATTTTGGTTCTTGTGCTGCCCCTAAATTATCTGTAATCTTGGGCAGTTGCCTTACCTCTGGACCTTTGTTTCCTTAATGAGAATGAGATAACTGATGATCCTATCTACCTCTTTTCTGTCCATATAAATTACACTTCCTGTAAGAGTGGGTAGTGGAGATTGGAGAGACAAATGCTTATCTTGTTTCTGAATAGCCTCATGAGATGGCTCTGAAATCCTGAGTGAGAGGAAGATGTTTCTTCCCTGTCACTTTCCATTTCCTTTCCTGTTTTGCTCTTTTTCTTTCCTAGATTTACTTAGCTTTGGAGAAAAAGGACAAATAATGATTCATGGTAAGCAGTTAATTAGTTAATAGCAGTGCTAACTATTTGTAAGGCACTCAGAATTGGTTAAAGATACAAAGGTGTAAAAGACTAAGAGCCTGTCTTCATGGAGCTTACCCTGTAATCACATTGTGAATCATATGTGATAGATGCCAGATGAAGTTGCCCAGAAGTGGAGAAGGCCTGTCTTAAACTAAGTATCAAGTTTGAGGAGGAATACTTTTTTGGTCACCATACCAGGAACACTCCTGTATCTCAAGAGATAGGATGGCGATGGGACATTTCCCTTGACAACTCCTCGCTGAGTGGACATCTTGCTCTGTTGCATTAGTAGCTCCAGAGGTCCAGTGTTTTGGTGGTGTCCCTGTACAGTATTGTTGCCCTTTATATTTGAAAAGGATTAGGAAGGGGTCATACAACAAACTTGGTGACAGTCTTCCATTAGCCATGATACTTTTGTGTAGTCAGCCGACAGTTGATGGCAGGTCATTTTTGTATGGAAAATTAGGCAGATGACTCAAGCAGTTCTTTGTCTAGATTGCTAGCCAGTCTGATAATTCTTTGATCAGGAAAATCCTTTATCTTAATGGATAGTTGGTACAGTTTTTGTTGTAACTCAAGTAAAATTAAGCTCAGTAGATAAAAAGTAAAATTTTATTAGTCTTAAAACTTTTTTATAAACTTACATTTTTCATTGAAATGTTATATAATAAAAGTTTTGTGAGCTTATAAGTTCATTTCTGCTCTTTAGGTGCTGCAAAGTTGGTAGTAGCTGTGGCAGTATTTTTACTGACATTTTATGTTATTTCTCAAGTATTTGAAATAAAAATGGATGCAAGTTTAGGAAATCTATTTGGTAAGTTCTATTTTTTTCCATTTT